TGCCTCCAATACATACTAGCTCTATAATCTCTCAGGGTTAGAGATGAGTTGCTGATCTTCATCTCTAAATTAATGAAATCACAGGCTATGATTTCCTCTTTCAACCACCTGCTCCCAAAACTTTTAGTGGCACTGTATGGCTGTTATGGAATACATTCACTGTCTGCCAAGAATTCAAGTTTTAGCTCACCCACAGGGCATGTGCAAAGCAAGTCAGATGTTACCTCTCCTTGACTCTGGTAGAGACAGCCCAGGACCCAGAGAATAGCAGGGGTCTCCTCATAACTGGTTCTGCTTCCAATACTGCATCTTAATTGAAGAGAAGGGGCTCACCATCCCTGCTATTACTTAGATCGACTCCTAAACTGCCACTGATGGGCAGATCAATGTGAAAACCCTTGGAACAGCAGAACTCCCCTAGAGCTTAGACCAGCAGGTCCAGGTATGCCACCCTTGAGAACATGAGGCATGGCAATTTCTTCTGCAGGTGCTGTAGCCTCCATCTCCTCAGTAATCTTAGCTACTGAAGACCTGGAAAACAAAATTCTTGCCACCAAAGTTCTTGGCACTGTCAAATGGTTCAATATCAGAAACTTCTTATGACTTTGATAATGGCCATAAAAGAAGAGGCATCACTATCTGCTTTACTACTGTACCTGAAAAACCATGGGCTTCCTCTTGTGCTGCGTGTGCTGTCTTCCCCCTTTAGAATACATGCCTTATTGAGGGTGGGGACTTTCTTTTAAAACAAACAAGGGGCGGAGCCAAGACGGTGGGAGTGAAAACAAACAAACTGTCTAGTTTTCTATTTATATCCCCAGAGCTTAGCAAAGCACTTTGCACATTTGTTTAGCTTAATAAATGCCTATTCATTCCTTCATTGATCATTTGGAGTCATGGTTGGTTACACAGACCATAGCTGTTCAAGTCTTTCAATGTTGTTTTTCTGCTATTATGCTATAAGTCATTGTATAAAGTACTGCTGAATGACTTTGGAAATCTAAGTTACACTGGGCCTCTATTCAGCAGGAGAAAACTGGCAATACTTCACGTTAGGGCCAGTTTCTGGCTATGATTTTCTGACTGAAAGAATAACCAGACCTCAAGATTGAGAGTTCTGCCGCATCCTGAAAGCTAAAGGGCAACACTGAAGAAAAAAATGCTCAGGGGGCAGAATTACCCTGAAATGTCATGGAGGGAATGGCATGAAACCTGTAGTCAGAAGAGCTCTTCAGTTCCATACTTTTCAGGCATACCTTCATGAGGTCATATATTATACACTATGCATAGAGCCAAACATTTTAAAGAGGCTATTTTTGGGGGACTATGCCAATTATTTAAATAAAAAGCAGTATGGTAAAAAGGAGGGCTGTGATAGGGACCAAAGTGGTGACTGTGTGTGGAAAGGTGGTTGGGGAAGAGTGATCAAACCAAATATACTTGGAAAAGACAAAATAATTTTCTTCACATAGAAAAGAGATCAGATCTGTTTTGCATGGCCTGAGCTGGCAGGACTAGGAAGAGATGAAAGCTGCAGAGAAAAAAATTTAGCTGGATATAAGGAAACATTTCTTAACAATTAGAACATTCAAGAAAGAAACAGACTACCTAGAAAGGAAATGAATTACTGGAGTTCTTCAAGATGAGATCTATTCAGGCACAAGTTGGCCCAAAAGAGCCCTAATGTCTCTTTGAATACTAATATTCTGATTCTGAATCATATTGCAATCATGAGATGTAAGGGTCGTAATTATAAACTTTCTTTCCCTTCTGTGATCAAGAGCTCAACCATCGGCATTTCCCAACTAAGAGAATGCTTTGTCTTTTAAGAAGTTGGAATGGGGTCACCACGCTACTGCCTTCAGCCTTCACATCAAATGGTTTTTTCAAGCTGAGATCTAAGTCAAAGCCTGGAAGTGAGGAAGAAACAGCTCCCATAGCAGATTTCTCCACATTGCTGACCAAATATACACAATGGTCTGCTGGTTCGGGATGGTTTATTTGGCCCCTTGAGCACTTTAAGGGCATTTAAGAGAGGAAGTCTCTCCAGAAACGGGCCAAAGACATAAAAAGGCAGCTAAATCTGGGATTTCAAAAGATATTCTGATTCAACACAGCAGAGCATATTATCCTGGCCTGGCTTGGAAATGTTTCAGGCTGAGAAAGACAGCTCACACAATACAAATGTAATTCTTCCCACTGCATCTCTGACTAAGCATACAGATTTAGAGGCTACAAATTAAAGAAAGACTAATATGGACTATAATCTATGGTTCTGTTCACTCTTTAAAAGTTCAAATAAAAACAATTAAGAGGTAAGATAACAAAACTCAAAGGCTTATCATAACTTGTGTTAAATTATTAGCCTACAGTCCTTAATTATGTGTGATGTGCAAAAACATTTAAGTGACAAAAGAAGGGATAGAATTTCCCAAGGAATATTCCTAAAGAAGGGCTACTTTCTTCAAGGACAAAGGGGAGGCACTGAGTGGTCACAGCATTCGCATCACAAGAAATGGCCTAGCTACTACTTACATTTCCAACTTCCAGGAAGTAGTGGGGAAAAAAAGCTAATGGTGTCTTAGGCAGCATGGTGTAGAAGACAGAGGGCTGAGGTTTGGAGTCAAAAAGACCTGGATTCCAATCCCCAAGACAAGCTGGGTGACCCTGGACAAATTACTTCACCTGTGTGTGTTTTAGACAATTTCCTAGGATTTAGCTAAGTCACAGATTGAGTGTGATGCAAACTGGGCAAGTGAATCACCAAAATGGAAGTTCCCTCTAGTGACAAAATCACAAATTCTTTACAAGTACCTATATCCTTGACTGTATTATGAGAGGAAGAGTTCAGAATGATGGAGGAAATAATTCCATTATATTCAGCCTTGGCCAAACCATATCTGGATTATGTTAGTCACAGGTACAACATTTTTAAAAAGACACAGCCAAGCTAAAGTATGTCCAGAAGAGGGAAACTAGGATGGTGAGAGGAGTAAAGAACATGACATGAAGCATAAAGACCAGCTGAAGGCACTAGGGACATTTAGTCTAAAGAGACCTGAAGGGCTCTCAAGGGGACCGGACTGCGACTAGGTTTGCTCTTCTTGGTCCCAGGAAGCTGAATAGGAGAAATGAGTGGAAGCTGCCTAGAGATGACATTAGTTGATATAAGGAAAAACCTTCTCACTAATCAAGCCAACCCAAAGTAAGGTTATTTTGGCAAGGTGTGGTCCCTTCACTGGAGGGCTTTCAGTAATGACCACTCGTCACTTAGAAGGGATTCTCAGCCTCTCTTGTTTGAGGTCTTTTCCCTTTAGGTCTATGATCTGAAGATGATATGTGAACAAAGAAGATGTTCCCGAGTAAACACTTGGAGGGCTTGGACTTGGTGACTTTAGGCAAATCATTTAATCAGTCACGGTTGCATCATCTGTAAAATGGGGGAAACGATTTTCTCACAGTTAATTGCGGACAGAGTGCTGTATCCAGCAGAGCGCAGGAGACAGAGCCAAGCCATCAGAGACAAGCCTCTTGGGGCACTCCGTGCAGACTCCTCTGCACTGGTACAAAGTCCTCGGTGGAAGGAATGAAATCACAAATCTGGTACAAAGAATGTTTGACAAATGTAACTGTTATTCTCCCTGGAGGAAGAAAACAGGGAAGAGAGTGTGTGTGTGTGTGTGTGTGTGTGTGTGTGTGTGTCCCGCCCCATCCCCCCCATAACAGAAATGGGGAATCTGAAAGTTCAGTTGCTGGCAAGATAAAAGTTCTGACTTCCAAATTGGTCATTTTGGGCCATATCGCTAATGGCCAACAGTATGTCTTTTTCAATGCTAGCAAACTTGTCTGACTCAGGAGCAGTGAACCCAGCAAAAATAACTCTGTTTACAGCAGGTACTGTTTACCTGCTGGATTTTCCTGTCTCTCTTTCTAACCCTCCAAGAACAACTTTGGAGGTTATTAATCTCAAAAGCAATAGGAAGGAACAATGATTTTTCAATATACTTGGACTTCTTTCATGTGACAATGAAGAACAGTATGTAAAGGCAAAGTCATTAAATGTTCTCAAAAGCCCTATCAATGGCCTGGAAAAACAAAGTATGTATAAATAGAGGCTATTTGAAAAGCAGCATACAGATATTCTGCAAAAACATAAATTATGCATTTAAATTAAGAACATATAGACAACTGAGTAAGAACTGATCTTTCTTGCCCTGTAGACACAAAGGAAAAAAACAAAAACAGGGAGGCTGGTAAAGAAAGTTGGATAACAAAATAAAGGTCTAAAGACTTAAGAAAGAAGCAGCCCATAATCCAATCAGGTGACTACAACTTAGCCTGCCCTAAATTGTATTCTTCATGCAATGTGCTCCTTCAGTGCAATGAATCACAAAAGCAGCAGCTTTTGGTATCTATCTTCAAGGCAAAGATTAAACACATTGAAGAGGGGTTGGAAATAATGCAGAGGCAAGATCTGCATTCACTGAAAAGGAGCCAAGTGGAAAGCTGCAGTATGTCCATAATCAATACATGGCTCTACTGTATCCTATTTTTCTCCTATTAGGATGCTTTTGCTATGAATAAGGGTGACAATGAAGGGAATAATGAATTACTTACAGTATTTACAGAAACTAAGGTAACCCAGTGCCCTATACTAGAAAATCAATCTTTTGCAGTAAGCTCTCAGGAGTTCATATTCCCATTGCCAAAGTCTGTGACAAAGTCCTCATATGTAACCTAAGAGTTACACACAAAGTCTATTATACCTAAAAATTCATTTAAAAAAAGGGGGCGTTATCTATAATGTACTATTATGCATAACTGTATAATAGTACATAATCTATATGTACTATGTACCATTCAGTTGTTATACAAGTTTCACGGAATTGAGGTGAAATCAATGACATTTCTCATGCAGGTATCCTTTTCTTTTGAGCCCGTTATCTTTATAAAAAGATAGCATTATGCTGCAATATTGCTGGAGGTAAGACTTCACTCACCTCCTGAAAAAGCGTAGACATTTCACAAACCAGGCACGAGCTGGGACTTTGCATTTCACATTTGTGCCTGTCAGAAAGGAAGAAATCTCGCAGTAGTGGAGTGTGGGTAAGTGCTTGGACAATACAGTTCATAAAACACGTGTTCCCAAGATTGATTAGCCCTCGTAGACCTAGAAAGAAAGAACAAAGGCACAAAGCAAATATTAGCAGAATTAACATATACCACATATATCTCATTAGGTAACAACAATGTTTCTGAACAGTTAATACTTCACAAGTGCAGAAAACGTTCCTCCTTTTCATACTTCTCTATAAGGATCAGAGTAGAAATTTTTCACCCCTAAGGACAGAGCCCACCTAGGCAAATAGTTCAGGTGTAACACACAAGATAACATTTCTCCAGATGGACTATTGCCAGAGTGAGTGAGACCACTGAAATTTCTTTAAAAATGGAAGGCTACTGAACAGTTGTTAAACTCTTTTATTCCTCAAGGTTTTTCTCTTGGTTTCCACTAGGAATCAATGAGAACAAAAAATGTTATTTCATTTGGAAGAAGGGAGGTTCAGAACAATGTTGTATAGATTATAGTGGAAAAATCACTGGCTCTAGGGGCAGAGGACCTGGGTTCAAACCTGCCTGTGATGCTTACTGCCTTGGTGTAACAAAATTTTTGGTCATTCAACTTCCCTGGGTGTCAGTTTGCTTATCTGTAAAATGAGGGGACCAGATTAAATGGTCTGTGAGGTCTCTTCAGTCTCACGATCCTATGATCTAAAGTAGATGCTAATGCCAAATGTAACTCACGTTTGCCTATTATATAATAGGTAATCAATGTTTTAGTATCAAAGGGATATTAATATACCTTTCCAGGGCAGATCCCTAAAACTTAAGATACTTCTTTAAACATATCAAGCTTGATTACAGCAGAGGATATATATATTTAATAGGTTGTACTCCTTGCTCTTAATTTTAAAAGGGGGTGAAATACATTTTGTGTTTTCTCTCTCAAAATGCTAAACCATGTGTCTTTTTTATTTGAATCACTGATTTCTATGGGTCAATGGTTGTTTTAAAAAAAAATTCTTTAACCCAACATATTATGTCATTAAATCCTCATCTAAGTGAGGTAAGTAGGAGATGGTACCCTATTTTCTTTCCCATTCAAACATTTAATAAGCAATCTTCCCCCCCCATATATTATGCCTTGACTTAGGTACTGGAAGGGATGGGATATCAACAAAGAAACAAAGGGGACGTTAGTTCTTATGGTTTTTAAAGGAGCCATTTCCCTGAAAAAAATATTATGGGGCATAGTAGATGGGAAGGAAGTGCCTATGAAAAAAGTAATTCAAAACAGACCCATTTTACTATAAATAGCTTTACCTCTGTTATTCGAGTGTCAAACTCTTTAGTCTGCTTGCTCTCAAATGCCCTAACTCCAACCTATCTCCTCTTAATGGTACTAAAAATTCCTCCCAGAAAGCCCCTTTACTGCATGGATTCAAATTTATTTATCTATCATATTTGTACTATGTTATTTAGCAGAAAACCATACTTGAGAGGCCATACAGTATAGAGGAACGAATGTTGAATTTGGATTCAGGACCCTGGTTTAAATCTTGCCTGTGATAATTATTACCTAGTAACTTTAGCCAAGTAATCCAACCTATCTAAGCTTTTGGTTTATGCATTTGCAAAATGAAAGGATTAGTCTAGATACTTCCAGGGGCCTTTTCCACCTCTAAATCTATAGGATATAGACACAGGAAGTCTAGGCTTGGGGTGAACAGGTCTATATTGGGTACCACAAATATGATTTTAGGCAACCAGAACACTGTCACTGGGTACTCAGGTGGGAGGAGAAAACAAACTGAAATGTAGAGATAGACTTTTTTACCTGGTGATTTAACCTAGGGCCTGCTGCATGTTGAGGTATGCTTATGAAAACAGAAGATCAGTTGCTTGGTTTTAAATGGTGAAGAAACACAAAATGACCTCCTCATTTTACAGGTGGGGAAACTTAAGGCCCAGAGAACTGATTTGACTTGTCCAAAGTCTCACAGCTACTGCTCAGAGTGATGACTCAACTCCGGCCTTCTGACACCAAATCAATGCTCTTACTCTACACCACAAAGCCTGACTACAAGTACTATGGTCAATACTCTTTCCATTCTACATAAAAATATACACATATGTATTCACAAAGGAGAACAAATTAGCCAAATCTCAGTTATTCAAATAAAACAAATCATGGCAAAAAGTGAAAAATGATATTTTCTCCAAGTGAGGTTGCTGCCAAAACCTATGACAGTTAATAGCAGCTCTTCAAGTGTCCTTAATATCAGTCCACGATATGAACACCTAGAAGTTCCCATCTGAAGTCTTACTCTAATAACTGGCTGGCAATAGAGGATTCTTAAAATCTACATCAGCAGGGCACGAGCCCCAGTAGTCCGATTTAAGCTAGATTAATAACTCAGGTTAACAAAGAACTTTGCTCATAACAACTCTATGAGGAAGATAGTACAAATATGATTCGTTGTAGAAGTCGAGCTATGAACTGTGTAGGGGCTGAGATCCGAATCAGTGAAGGAGTATTAATAACAATGAAAGCACAGATCCTATGGTCTGAAGAAAAATATACCAACAATCATTCTTATTCAATATCCAAGCCTGAAGACTGAATGCGTCCTTGGTTCCATTTGGTTGATTTTCTGTCGGGGAAGGAAGAAGGAGTGGAGATGGGGAGAAGTAGGTAGAGAGAAGAGAGGTAGATTTTTGTTTGGACTAGACCAGTGATTTCATTAGGACATGGAATTTCTGGTGAGGAAACTCTAATCATGCAGATCCATACCCTCTGCACCTCAGAAGGCATTGAAAGGTTTTGTGGTTTGCTTCAGGTTAGAACTCAGGTCTTCTTAACTCTGAGTCTAGATATCTATCCATTACATTATACTGTCTCTCTGATAATGAGAAAACTTAAATTTACACACACACACACACACACACACACACACACACTAATGCACTCTCTTCAAAAGATATGATTTCTACAATGAGGAGATTCCAATCCACTGATGTTTTTTCAAGAGTTACAAGCTGGAATTTTATTTCTTTAAATTCAAGAACATGTCATCAACATAGCCTAACAATATTAAGAACAGGATTTAAACTGTTTATAAGGTGGGAACCTCATAAGGTGGGAAAAAGTAGTACACTAGTCCTGAAACAGACAGGAAGACTAGATCCTCTCATAATGTTTATTCTAAATTCTGAGCCTTTGTCCAGGGCACATTATGTGAAGTACAGTGGGACACAGTTGTAGAAACACACTAAAGGACAGCCGCAATCTAAACCTTGGGCTGGGCCTTCTCCTGGGACCAGCAGTATTGCTTTTTTTTTTTTTAATAGGATTGGAAAACAGAAGTTTGGTACATTCCATCTGACATATTCTAGCTCTTAGGAACCCTTCTTGTAAGCAGAGAAAGTCTTTGCGCTAAAGAATTCTCTCATCACTTCTCTTGTTCTTATACTTTGGTTCTGGTTTCTTTGAATCTGTCTTCAGTCTGTAGGCTGCCTTTTTCAGAGCTTCTACTAGGCTGCTCAATTAAGAAAAGGCTCAGGTGCTGGATAATTCTAGTTTAAGTGCTTCAAGATTCTGTTAATGTTTATATATATCTTCCATTTCTAGATACTTCACGCTGGTCAGTTTAATTGTTTGTGTTAACTTAGCTGTCTATTATGGAAGGTAAAAGGCGCAAGAAATTACTGACAGGCTTCCACAATGGGAAAGAAAAACAGAGGGAAAGAGACAGGCAGAGACAAAACAGACACACACACAGACTGAGCCTGAAAGACAAGGAATTCAAGGCTGCTTTAAATGTGGCTCATACTCATTTTTCTATTGCTTCGAAAACCTCAGTCAAGAGACTATATACAATGACATATCTCCCTAAAACAGGGATTAACCTTTTTTTGTGTCATGAATCCTTTTGGCAGTCTGATGAAGACTAGTGAAACTTTCTCAGAATGTTTTTAAGTAATTGAAGGAAATGTTAAATTTCATTGAGAGGTAAGTGACCATAGAGATATCATGATATCATTTTTATCCCATTCAAGTTCATGGATCCTTCCAAATCTATGCATGGATCACTTTGGGGGCTGCGCGTGTGTGCACATGCTCACGCTCGCTACTTCTCACTGTAGTTTACTTTCTAAATGTCCATTATCAAATGAAATATAAAATGGATGTTCAAAAGTATGTCCTTCAACTTATATGAAGTGAAGCAGAATGAAGTAAGCAGAACCAGGAGATCAATGTACATAGCAACAGCAATAATATAATGATAATCAATTGTGAAAGATTTAGACTCTGATCAATACAATGATCTAAGACAATCCTGAAGGACTTATGATGAAAAATGCTATCTACCTCCTGGGAGAGAACTCATGTGAACAGAGTGCAAATTTAATGTTTTCACTTTCTTTTATTTTTCTTAGCTTTTTTTTTTGGCAACAGAGCTAATATAGAAATATGTTTTCCATGATTTTACATGTGTAATTGATATCACACGGCTTGCCTTCTCAATGGGTGGTAGAGGGGCTGGAAGGGGAAAGAGAATTCGGAACTCAAAATAAAAAAAAAAGAATGCTTAAGATAAACAATGAATTTAGAGAGACTCCTTCAGCAGTGCTCTTACATGAAGATTTTAGGAACAAATTTTCTAACTTTTATGCCAGAAGCTTAATTTTCACATCATTTCTTTAAAAAGCAAACAAACCTAAAAATTTTCTAGGCTTATTTTTATTTTGCTAGCACTAGAGGGAAAACAAAATAGGACCCCCTCCCCCACTTTCCATATTTGATCATTTATATTTTGATGAAGTCATTATAAGATGATGCTAAAGGAACCAATTTCATTATGGTAAATACATCCATTAAAGGGCTATTTATACAATCTTGAAAATAAAACAAGGGATCTACACATGGAATAGCTGAAGACGTCTGTTTTTCACATTTGCAAACCAATAACAGTGTTAAAAAAAATGTCCTGTAGGTGGCAGGTAAATCACAGCAGGATGGCAATTGTTTCCCCTAACGGAAAAAGGTTAAAAACTACTGAAAATAACTTCAAAATTCATATGCTCTGACAAATCAACACCTTCTTG